TTTTTTTTTTGCACTGATGCCACCCAATTAAGAAATTAAAGGAGGTTCTATTTGCTATTCACTATTGTTTGGAACCAATTAAGAGTTTGCATTTGTAAATGCGTGCATCGCAACTGAAATACTACATGGCATTATAACTTTGCATTTGGGCTTACAAAAAATTGTACACATACTACATGGCAGTACATCAATACTTGTACTTTCATACCAATGTACTTACAAAAAGCATACAAAAAGGCATTAACACTTGTGTGTAGAACACAAAATTTAAAATTAAACATGTCATGACAGTTTATATGAAGATATGCCTATTCTTCATTTATGAATTGTCCTCGTGATTGGTCTGCATTGGTAGTTGTCATTTGTTCATTATAGTATGCCATAGCTGTTTCATACATTTGAACACTAATCTAGATATTTGTTGGTAATAGCCCATGCCTTTCCAACTTGTCTTTGCCTATATAGTTCAATTTGAAATTGTTGCCTCCCTTGTTCTGCAGTACTGCTTCCATTGCACATTGAAAGGTTCGAAAATTTTTGTTCAATGTGTTTGGAATAAGCTAACTGAAAGAAGTTTTTACAACTTCAATTAAACATGCAATATTCTTTGGTCCCTTTTGATCTTTGATTGAATCAATTGCCCTAAAAATTCCCAAGTCTAGAACATTCAAGTCTGGATTGTTTGGAAACTGGAATTTCAGTTCAATGTTCAATCCATCATTTGTCCTGGTCCTGACAAAGTCAGGATCTTTAGTCCCAATATGAGGGCGTGCATTTTCCTGTTATATTATGACATGTCTGTTTTATGATTCTGTCCATTTCTTTTTTATTACTCAGACAACTTTGTTTAGAATCATGTGCGAATGAAAATATGCCTACTTTCCCATCCCATAAAACCTCCCCTTATCTTCTAGTCTCGGCCTACCAACAATTGCTAAAAATATTATCTTTGGAATGAAATTTTTTTTATTGCGATGTTCTGTATGGATCCTCTTCTATTGGAACAATGTAAAATGTGGTTCTTTCTCTTAATATGTAAAACCACTTTTCATCAATCTGTATGTAATTATAGAAGTCATGAAAAGTAGAGGTTATTGGTAAGGAATGTGGAACTATATGACTCAAACAATATTCTAACTTTTTGAACTTTCCAACATGTGTAAGGAGTGGCTTGATAGCACTACAATGCATTTTGATTTGCTTTCTTTTATACCATCTACAAACTGTAAACTTGGACACTTGCATAGCATAGCCCAAAGCTCTCATATTTTTTCTTGGATGCAATGGTATTTCTTTCATTTCCTCAAACGTTAAATCACATGCTATCAACTAAAACTGAACAAATGTATCATACATTCGACACTATCAGCCGGTCATACCAGTTATTACTACTTACTATCAGTCGGTCATACCAGCTAGAATGATCAGCTATCTACCACCAGTTGTTAACAACTAATCACAAAACACGACCTATATATTCTATTTCCCTGCCTCATTAATTATTTGTAGTGAATATTTATGATGATTATTTCTACACATCGAGATAAATCTTGTTGCAAATTCTTAAGAATTATTTTCCTTCTTGATCTAACTGCTTCTAAAATTTTCATTTGGATTGATTTTAGTCACCAGTCAAATTAGACCCGACTAAACTTGACCGATCAAATTAGTCTTGAAATAAACATATCATATCAAAATTATACCATATCATCATTTGAAACTCTATTTTATTTAAAAATTTTGGTCAATAAAATATACTTTGAGCAAGTGAATATTTTTATAGGATTCTCTTTAAAATAAAACAATGATATAAAAATAATCTTATTAAAAATAATTTCATAAATATGTAAAATTTATAACTTTCATAAAAAAAAATCAGAACTATTGTGCTCACTTCGTCCCGGAAAATTGTTCCCGCATTGACTTGAACAGATTTTTAGGAAAGTTAAAAAATGCTTTGTCTTTCCCAAAGTGCCCCCGAAATGAAAGTAAAAGGAAAAGGAAAGGGAGTTACCGCAAGGGGGATTACTGCTACACTCAAAATGCTTTACACTATTCAATGAAGTGATAGTAGGTATAAACAATTCAACCTTTTCTACACCCTTCGTACACCACCCCTTTTCCCCCTCAAAAGTTTCCTCCCTTTTTTGGGAAACTTTCTAAAATTACCATCTATAAATACACATTCCAAATCTAAAGCTTCACTACACACTATCACACATTACGCGCAACATTTATGGCCGCAATTCCGCAAACAACAGTGACACCCAGACTTCTTCTTCCCCCATTGCATCTTCCATTAATGAAGACCTATCTTCAGGTGCAGTCAATGATTCTTCCTCACCAACTGCAGTAAATGAAGGCCTGTACACACCAACAAATTCCCAAAGCTCAAATATCAAAGCAAAAAGACTACAAAACGTAGAATGGAGAGTAGTTGATGAAATTCTAATTAGTGCAACAAGAAATGATTCTGGGGAGGTGACAGCTCAGAAAGGTGTTCTAAGTCATCTAGCCACAAAATATTCAGTGACCAGAAGAAGCATTTTCATGATCTGGAGCAAAGCTAAAGAGCAGATTATAAAGGGGAAACAATTGATGTAAAAACCAGGTGGGTGGGAAACTCATGCAGAAAAGGAGTGTTGTTTGATGTAAAAAAAATTCACAAACCCCACTTCACAAAAGGACTAACATGAAAGCACTTGCTTCGGCCAGTTCAGTTTCAAAGTCAAATATTCACAGATTGGTTCAGAGAGGTGTGCTTAGAAGTCATACAAATGCTATTAAGCCTTTGCTAAGTGATGCAAATAAAATTCACAGACTGATGTTCTATTCTAGACAAATCAATTCCAACAAAGGCAGTATTTAAAAATTTCCATAATGTGATACACATTGATGAGAAATGGTTTTCTTGTCAAAAAAACGTCACAAAGATACTACATGGGGCAGTAAGAATTGGATCCACATAGGTTATGCAATCTAAGAGATTCATAACCAAGGTCATGCCACTAGGAGCAGTGGGGAGGCCTATATTTACAGATAATGGGAAAGTAATTTGGGATGGTAAAATAGGCATTCTCCCATCCATTGAGAAAGTGACAGCTAAAAGGAAAAGCAAGAACAACGATGCAGGGGTAATGGAAACTAAACCAGTACTTAGCATTACAAAATCAGTGTGCAATGCTAAGTACATTGTAATCCAACAAGATAATGCAACAATATAATGCAAGGCCACACATTCTAGATTCAGACCCAGGCTTTATGGCTGCCTCAAAAGCAGCTGGTATTAATATTATCCTAACTGACCAGCCTATGAAATCTTGGGGTTGTTTAGGGAAATCCAGTCTATGAAAGACCAACAAGCACCTAAGAATGTGGATGAACTATTAAAGGCAATAGATGAAGCATTCTACCGGCTTTCACCCACCACTCTCAACAAGGTTTGGTTAAGCTATCAATATGTGATGGTAGATATAATGAAAGTGGAGGATGGGAGCAACTACAATCTGCCACACAATGCAAAGGACATAATGATCATAGAAGGAAGGCTGGCCATAAGCATAGAGGTTGTTGTGTAGTTACTAGAAGCCACAGAGGTTGTTTTATCCCAACAACAGGGTAACAGTAATATTGTTAACTTACTAGAGGCAAGTAATGACCAGTTTATCCATGAAGATGATGAAGAATAAGTCATCTCCAGTAACGAACTCAGTCCATCACTGTGAAGGCGTGTTTTTGTACATGCCTTTTTGTCATATTGTACAGGCCTATATTTTTGTGCTTGTGTATGGGCCTACATTTTTTTTCATGTTGTATAGGACTATATTTTTGTAATTTTATGGAGGCATAGATAATTTGGATTGTTTAGAGGCCTATACTGTTGCAGCTACTCAGAAATTATATCATCATTATAGCATAACAGAATCCTTTCTCAAGCCTTATGGCTCCCTTATTCATCATAGCAGCCTCACACAAAACGATGCAGAGTAGTACAAAGTATATTACTCAAAGCAGCCTCGTACAAACAATGCTCAAACAATATTGTCATCATACCAACCTCACACAAAACAATGCTCAGACTAATACAGAGTATAATCATCGTACCAGCCTCATACAAACAACGCTCAGACTATATTTGTGACACCGCTCCCGAACGTCCTTGAAAATTTGATTTAAAATTCAAGTTTATGTATTGGATTTCTGATTCCCAAACAATTGTAAAACGATTAATGTTTTACGTAATTAATGATCGAATATTGTACTGTTCGAACTCGTATATTAGTATCGGACATACAGATACTATTTGGGACTTATTGATAGATAAAGGAGCCCAACATTTTCTAAATAGGATATATGACCTTTTCAAGACAATTTGAGGAAGGTCGGGCGGCCCAAACATTATTTTGGGCCCAACCTGCTAAAAATAGCAAGTATTCGAGAATGGCGTTCTAGACCCACTCGGGAGTGACCCACACGGCTAGTAGCCCAATAATATGTATGACAAATGTCAAATATGTGATAGAATGATTAAAGAAGAATACAATGTCTATAGCCCCATATTTGGCATTATTGAACTAAATAATGGGAGTAGGATTTTTCTTCTATAATATCCATTAAGTAAATTATTGTGATAAACCTACACATATTGGACATCAATAATGTGATGTAGGAAGTTGGCTTGTTCTAAATAAATTAGGATGAGTACAAAAAGACATCTTTGACAAAAGATAAAACAATAGGACCCATCTTCCCATTTTTGGAAGTATTGGTAGATAATTTGGATCCCAAAATGATTGGGATCAATTGGGAACCACTCCACATGATATTAGTACCTGAAAGACGAATAAAAATGGGTTAGGAGACTTACCTTGGCCGCACCACATGGAGAAGCACTGCCCATGACATAGTTGGAATCAATGTTGGGCCGCCACCACTGTTTTCGCACAAACAGGTGTGCTGTTTTGTCTCCCTCCATGAGTGATGTTATACTCGTCCAAATAAGGTGAATGAGGTGTCCTTGGATAGCCTTTGAAGTCTATTTTCATATTTGAGTGGTCTCTGCTCGAGGGGAGAGGTTTATCTTACAAAAATCGAGCTGGAGTGAGTGGTGGTCTGTAAACTCGAGCTGTGAGAGTGCTGAGGCTGTTTGGTTGATATCTCGAGATATACCAATCCAATTAAGGTGTGTGATATACCAAAAGAAATCTCTCAAGACGAGGAATCTGTGAAGGTCTGGTTTGCATCAATCGGAGTAGTGGAAAGCTTCCAAATCGTCCGAGCAAAACACAACCTCGCAGAAACAGATTTACTCTTCTAAAGTGAGTTGTTAACCCCAAAACCTTTCCATTCATTTTCCAAATGATATGAACGATTGGTGGAACTATTGTACACTAATCCAAGTGTATAATATGTCTTTGAAAAGTTATTTTATTGATGTAAAGGTTAGATACTAACCTAGAGTAAATCTTGGAAAACTAGGAAACGTGTTCACCGGAAAACAACCATTATAGGGGCTGTTTTCGTACCAACGTTTAAGGGTTGAGCTAGCACTTGGAAGAGGCTGTTTAACACTCATATTTGAGCAAGGAATCAGTTCCAAATCCACCTTGACCAAGGTCTTGACCATTGGACCAAGAAGGGATAGTTTAAAGCTCAATTGAGGTGAGGACCGACATCTAGTTGCTTACAACTTGTAGGTTATGCATGAGATTACCTAAATGTTTAAATCATGTTTTTGTGAATAAATATGTTTGAACATGATATGAATGATAAGTAATGGACTTGATCATGAATTGAAACCATATTGATGAATATGGAGTTATGTGAGATAAAAGTATGCTAATATGGTAAATTGACCTTCCAACTCATGTATGAATGTTATGTGTGTGTAAATGTATAATTGCATGATGATGCTTAGCGCATGGGAGGCTGCCACATATCTATTGATATGGAGGGGCTACCATTAATGATAAATGAGTTGTAGGAATAATCTTAATAGTATTGTGATGCTAGTTAAGGATTGTTCTAGATGTTGATAGAATCAAACTTAAAGGTTGAGTTTGTTTGTGATGAACTTGAATAAGATTCAAGTGTCAATTGTGATTGTATGAAGTAGGAGATCTATGGTGTGATTGTATGAAGTAGGAGATCTATGGTGTGAATACATGAAGTAGGAGATCTATGGTGTGAATACATAAAGTAGGAGATCTATGGGGTGAGTACATGAAGTAGGAGATCTATGATATGATTACATGAAGTAGGAGATCTATGATGCGAGTGCATGATGATGTACTCGAGCCGAACTCTAGAAATGAGAAGTTATGTTAGGGTTGGACCCTATGTATGTCGTGACCATTAGTCACGGGGTTTTGGGAAATGTTTTGTAATAAACATGGGCCTTTGAGCCGACTACTTGACCTTATATAAAGTAAGTATGTATTTTGAAAGGGGTAATCTGGGATTACGACCTATACTATATTATCACCCTATTTGAGGGTCTTGTGTGTGAAATACTTGTTGTATATCTATTAGATGCCTGCCACACCAGCACTTTATAGCCCTATAGAGTGCTGACCCCTTCGGGGGCGTCCCACCACCATTTTTCAGGTTGAGGCTAGAGCTTGCTTCCTGTGCTCGTTGCTCGAGAGATCATATAGGAGGGAAGACTTGGTTCGTGCTTCCTCCATTCTGTTTTTAAAGATTAATAAACATGCTCATGAATATTTTACTATAGAGCCTGCGTGCTCATGTTTGCCACGTGTGGCATTTGTTTTCAAACTATGTTTTCCGCTACATATTCGATTGCTTATTATGTTGTTTATGGATGGCTTACGTGTGAATGGTATTCGTGACGCCTTGTATAATATGAATGTGTTGGACTGCGGTTGACTATTCGTATTATACGGCGGGTTGTTGACGTGTCCGGGGAGGTCCGGGGCGTGACAAATAAGTTGGTATCAGAGCCTTAGTCCATAAACTTCATAATGAAGTCTCAAAATTCTCTTTTTGAAAAGATTTTGAAAACCATGAGCATAGAAGTTTTGTACTTGGAGAGCTTTTGGTACTTGGGTTGCAAGGTCTCTAATTGTTAAGATGGTACCCTTAGCAATTGGTATGGCGGTGACTCGAGCCAAAATGTGTCTTAAGTACCTCTCCGTCAATTGACATTTGATACGAGTCTAACGACTCTTTCCAAATTTCTTTCAGAAATGGACCGTGGTGGCAGGATTACTAGGAGAAACCCGACGGGCCGTGTACCAGTGGAGACTGGACAGGGCAGTCGAAGGACCTCTAGGGCATCTAGAGGAGCTGGCCGTGGAGGCCGATCACAGACCGTGAGTGACGGTCATGTTGACACAGAAAGTGAAACCTACTGGTCCTATGAGGACTCGACTTACCAACCGGAGACCGAGCCGGTTGAGACCCCTTACGAAGGGGATGACGATGATGTAAGTGATGAAGAAGGGGAGAATGACTCCCTAGCCAGAATTGAGGCGCTGCTCCAGCAATATCAGCGGGAGCGCGAGGAAAGGAGGGAACGCCGAAGGCGCCGAGGAGGGCGAACTTCGGGAGGGGCTTCAAGAGGAAGAAGCCATGGCGACTCTAGGGCCCACATTGAACCACACGGGGGCCGGGGTGATGGAGGTCCGATCATAAGGATCTCCATATACCTCAAAGAGGCACGAGACTTGGGGTGCAAACCCTTCAATGGAGCAGGTGACATCTCGGTCGCCGCGAAATGGATCAAGAGGTTGAACGAAGCAGCCCTTGATATGCAACTCACCCCCGAATTCAAGCTAAGAGTGGCGGTAAGATTGCTTGAAGGGATGGCATCCACATGGTGGGATGGAGCCAAGGGGAAGTATGGCAATGTTGTGACTTGGGAGAATTTCCGACAAGAGTTCTTTGCCCAATACTATTCTGATTTTGAGGTGAACAATAAGAGGAGAGAGTATACCCTCCTAACCCAAGGTGGCAAGATGACGGTGAGGCAACTTGAACACAAATTCAGGGAACTCGCGGAGTTCATACCGGAGTATGTCTGTGATGAGAACCGGATGGTAAATCACTTCTGGGATGCCTTAGACTTGGAGGTGCGTGAGAGGGCAACGCAGTTGCCTAACATGACTTTTAGCCAGGTGGTCGAGCAGGGATTGAAAGGGGAGAAGGAATGGGAAGAAAGAAAGATGAAGAACGCCGAAGAGGCGAAGAAGAGAAAATGGGAGAGTCACGGCTCCCAAGGTTCCAACAAAAAGGGGAACCATGGAGGGGGATCTTTCCGTGCACCGCCGCCACCATCTAGGGGGAACCAGGGCTCGAGCAGGCATGACTCGGGGTCACAAGCCTCGGGGACGCCTCGTTGCTTGAATTGCAAGAAGAGTCACCTCGGAAAATGCCGTGAACCTCCTAGATGCTTCCAATGCGGGAACACCGGGCATTTGAAGGCGCATTGCCCACAATTGGGTGGGCCAAGGTCATCGGGACCAAGTAGCGGGGATACGGGAACAAGAAACCAAGCCGGGGGTTCCCAAGTAACCAGGGGGCAAGGGGGAGCAAGCGCGAGCAACGCGCCGTCCGTGAACCAAGGAAGGACCCAGGCTAGGGTCTACGCGATGACGGAGGCGGATGCTCAAGCTAACCCGGATTCCGTTGCAGGTATTACCTTTTGTATACTTGTGTTTTACCCTTGATTAGTCCATAAATTGAGGTTGCTAGTCGTTGGGATCATTGCACGAAGTTTTGGGGTCAAACGGAGCGAAATCGGGCGAAAGACGGTTGTTTTCCGCCAACGCACACCAGGCTGGACCATACGCACGGCCATGCGTTGTCCGTGCGTTGGTCCGTGCGTTGGTGGCAGTAGCCACCGGGAATAAATTGCTATACGCACGGCCGTGCGTTGCCCGTGCGTTGGTGGCAGTAGCATCCGGGAAGAAATTGCTATACGCACGGACGTGCGTTGTCCGTGCGTTGGTCCGTGCATTGGTGGCAGTAGCTCCATTTTGAGGTTATAAGACACGCACGCCGTGCGTACCTCCTAGGCACGCCGTGCGTACATCCTGGGCAGCCCAAAGTCGACTTTTTTGCGCCGTATTGCAACGTTAAGACCTGTTCTTGATCCCAAACACGTGTGTGAACATAATAAACCTCTCTAAATGTATAAGAATGGTAAGAAAGGTATCTCACATGACTTATAAATGTAGGAACACTAAAGATTAATGGGAAGCATGCACGAATCCTTATCGATACCGGAGCGCAACGTTCATTCGTAAGTGAGGCGTTCGCCGAGGGCTTAGAGATACAATCAATACCAATGACGCAAACTTTAGTGGTATCAACACCACTAGGGGAAGACGTTGAAAGAACCAATTACTATCCATCTTGTATGGTGGAAATCGGTGGCCAAACCTTGACGTGTGATTTCGTACCGCTGAGTATGATGGAGTTTGATGCAATCCTAGGGATGGATTGGCTAGAAAAGCATCATGCTAGGGTAGATTGCTACACAAAGGTTTTGGAACTCGAAGGCAATGATGGGGACACCCTACGCTTCGAGGGGGACCGAGGCAAATCAAATAGATGTATCATATCCGCCGTGAGAGCAAGGAGTATGATGAGAAAGGGATGCCACGCATACCTAGCATACGTGGTTGACAAAACCAAGGAAGAAGTGAACATCGACGACGTGAGGGTGGTTCGTAAGTACCCGGATGTCTTCCCAAAAGACCTGCCAGGGCTTCCACCTGATAGGGAGATTGAATTTGTGATCGAGGTCGAGCCTGGTACCAAACCAATCTCCATACCGCCATACCGTATGGCACCCGCTGAACTTACCGAGTTGAAAACCCAATTGCAAGAGCTTTTGGATAATGGTTTCATCAGACCCAGCCACTCCCCGTGGGGAGCGCCTGTTCTTTTTGTGAAAAAGAAAGATGGGACGCTTCGAATGTGTATTGATTATCGTCAACTGAACAAGGTCACAATCAAGAATAGGTATCCTTTGCCTAGGATTGATGACTTGTTTGACCAACTACGAGGGGCAACGGTGTTTTCAAAGATCGACTTGAGGTCGGGTTACCATCAATTGAAGATTAAGGAAGATGACATACCAAAAAGTGCTTTTCGCACAAGGTATGGACATTTTGAATTCCTTGTTATGTCGTTTGGGTTAACAAATGCCCCAGCGGCATTCATGGACTTGATGAACCGAGTATTCCATAAATACTTGGATCGATTCGTGATTGTGTTCATAGATGACATCTTGATTTACTCAAAGAGTGAAGAAGAGCACGAGGAGCACTTGATACTTGTTCTAGAGACACTACGGGAGAAGCAACTTTATGCCAAATTTTCTAAATGTGAATTTTGGCTAAAGGAAATTGGCTTTCTCGGGCACGTGGTTTCGGGATCGGGAATTGTTGTTGATAACAAGAAGATAGAGGCCATTACCGAATGGGAGAGACCAAAGAATGTCAAGGAAATTCGTAGTTTCCTTGGATTGGCAGGCTACTACAGAAAGTTCGTGGAAAAGTTCTCTGTTTTGGCGTCGCCGTTGACGAAGCTCACTCGAAAGGGAGCTAAGTTTATATGGGATGACAAATGTGAGAAAGGATTCATCGAACTGAAGAAGAGATTGACCGAGGCACCGGTACTTGCATTACCCAAACAGGGTATGGGGTACGATGTCTATAGTGACGCGAGCATCCAAGGTTTTGGGTGTGTGTTGATGCAGGAGGGGAGAGTAATTGCCTATGCCTCACGACAGTTGAAGAAGCATGAGGTAAATTACCCTACCCATGATCTGGAGCTGGGAGCAGTAGTGTTTGCACTGAAGATTTGGAGACATTATCTCTACGGAGAGACATGTCACATATATACTGATCATAAGAGCTTGAAGTACGTGTTTACTCAGAAAGAGTTAAACATGAGACAGAGACGGTGGATGGAGTTGATAAAGGACTACCATCTAGTTATTGAGTACCATCCAGGTAAGGCAAACGTTGTAGCAGATGCCCTCAGTCGGAAGAGTTTGTCTGGGGCATTGTTGACTAGTTTGAGGGCACTGAGGGCCCAATTGGATGTATCTAACGACGGTGCCTTATTGGCACGATTCGAAGTGAGACCGACCTTACTTGATGAGATCAAGAAGGGTCAAGAGACTGACGCAGAACTTATGAAGGTCCGGGAACGCATGCAAGCGGGACCGGTGGAGGATTTCAGGGAAAGAGATGATGGTCTCTTGTTATTTCGTGACCGAGTGTGTGTGCCGTCAGATGAGGAGATCCGAAAGTCCATCTTAGAGGAGGCTCATTCATCGGCGTATGCCATGCACCCGGGGGGCACAAAAATGTACCGTGATTTGAAAGAAAGTTACTGGTGGTCTGGAATGAAGAGGGAAATAGCCGAGTACATCAGTCGATGCCTTACATGTCAACAAGTTAAGGAAGAACATCAGCATCCAGCAGGCTTGTTACAACCACTTTCCATTCCTGAGTGGAAGTGGGAACATGTGACTATGGATTTCGTGGTAGGTTTACCACGGACAATTCGGAACTACGATGCAGTTTGGGTTGTTGTGGATAGGCTCACAAAGAGTGCACACTTCTTGCCTATCAACACTACCTACCCACTTGAGAGGTTAGCCAAATTGTATACGGATGAGATCGTGAGGCTGCATGGGGTCCCAGTGACCATTGTATCCGATAGAGACCCACGTTTCACATCACGTTTTTGGCCAAAATTTCAAGAGTCTATGGGAACGAGGCTGAAGTTCAGTACTGCTTTCCACCCACAGACGGATGGGCAGTCTGAAAGAGTCATACAGATCTTAGAAGACATGTTGAGGGCTTGTGCATTGGAGTTTCAAGGAAGTTGGGACAACCACTTAGCACTCGTGGAGTTTGCCTATAACAACAGTTATCCAGGCAAGCATCGGCATGCCTCCACACGAGGCATTGTATGGGAGGAGGTGCCGTACACCGTTATGCTGGGATGAGGTTGGCATGGCCAAACTCGAGGGTACTGAGTTGGTTGAGGTCACCAAGTCAAAGGTGAAGTTGATTCGAGAGAGACTCAAGGCGGCTCAGGATAGACAAAAGAGTTATGCAGATAAGCGTCGAAGAACCCTAGAGTTTAAGGTTGACGACGAGGTATTCCTGAAAGTTTCTCCTTGGAAAGGAATCATTCGATTCCAAACCCGAGGAAAGCTTAACCCACGATATATAGGCCCATTCAGAATTATAGAGAGGGTTGGGGCCGTAGCATATCGTCTACAGTTGACTCCTGAGTTGGAGAAGATTCATAATGTATTTCACGTGTCCATGCTTAAGAAGTACGTGCATGATCCTTCTCATGTGTTGGAGAAGCCGCCCGTGGAGGTACGTGAAGATTTGAGCTATGCCGTGCAACCGGTAAGAGTTATTGACAGAAAAGTGAAGAAACTGAGGAGTAAAGAAGTTCCAATGGTTAAAGTCCTTTGGAAGAGTGACCGGGTCGAAGAAGAGACTTGGGAAACAGAAGCTTTGATGAGGAAGCAGTATGCATTCCTATTCGAGTAGAGCTGTGAATTTCGGGGACGAAATTCCTGTTAAGGGGGGGTGAACTTGTGACATTGCTCCCGAACGTCCTTGAAAATTTGATTTAAAATTCAAGTTTATGTATTGGATTTCTGATTCCCAAACAATTGTAAAACGATTAATGTTTTACGTAATTAATGATCGAATATTGTACTGTTCGAACTCGTATATTAGTATCGGACATACAGATACTATTTGGGACTTATTGATAGATAAAGGAGCCCAACATTTTCTAAATAGGATATATGACCTTTTCAAGACAATTTGAGGAAGGTCGGGCGGCCCAAACATTATTTTGGGCCCAACCTGCTAAAAATAGCAAGTATTCGAGAATGGTGTTCTAGACCCACTCGGGAGTGACCCACACGGCTAGTAGCCCAATAATATGTATGACAAATGTCAAATATGTGATAGAATGATTAAAGAAGAATACAATGTCTATAGCCCCATATTTGGCATTATTGAACTAAATAATGGGAGTAGGATTTTTCTTCTATAATATCCATTAAGTAAATTATTGTGATAAACCTACACATATTGGAGATCAATAATGTGATGTAGGAAGTTGGCTTGTTCTAAATAAATTAGGATGAGTACAAAAAGACATCTTTGACAAAAGATAAAACAATAGGACCCATCTTCCCATTTTTGGAAGTATTGGTAGATAATTTGGATCCCAAAATGATTGGGATCAATTGGGAACCACTCCACATGATATTAGTACCTGAAAGACGAATAAAAATGGGTTAGGAGACTTACCTTGGCCGCACCACATGGAGAAGCACTGCCCATGACATAGTTGGAATCAATGTTGGGCCACCACCACTGTTTTCGCACAAACAGGTGTGCTGTTTTGTCTCCCTCCATGAGTGATGTTATACTCGTCCAAATAAGGTGAATGAGGTGTCCTTGGATAGCCTTTGAAGTCTATTTTCATATTTGAGTGGTCTCTGCTCGAGGGGAGAGGTTTATCTTACAAAAATCGAGCTGGAGTGAGTGGTGGTCTGTAAACTCGAGCTGTGAGAGTGCTGAGGCTGTTTGGTTGATATCTCGAGATATACCAATCCAAATAAGGTGTGTGATATACCAAAAGAAAGCTATCAAGACGAGGAATCTGTTAAGGTCTGGTTTGAATCAATCGGAGTAGTGGAAGGCTTCCAAATCGTCTGAGCAAAACACAATCTCGCAGAAACGGATTTACTCTTCTAAAGTGAGTTGTTAACCCCAAAACCTTTCCATTCATTTTCCAAATGATATGAACGATTGGTGGAACTATTGTACACTAATCCAAGTGTATAATATGTCCTTGAAAAGTTATTTTATTGATGTAAAGGTTAGATACTAACCTAGAGTAAATCTTGGAAAACTAGGAAACGTGTTCACCGGAAAACAACCATTATAGGGGCTGTTTTCGTACCAACATTTAAGGGTTGAGCTAGCACTTGGAAGAGGCTGTTTAACACTCATATTTGAGCAAGGAATCAGTTCCAAATCCACCTTGACCAAGGTCTTGACCATTGGACCAAGAAGGAATAGTTTAAAGCTCAATTGAGGTGAGGACCGACATCTAGTTGCTTACAACTTGTAGGTTATGCATGAGATTACCTAAATGTTTAAATCATGTTTTTGTGAATAAATATGTTTGAACATGATATGAATGATAAGTAATGGACTTGATCATGAATTGAAACCATATTGATGAATATGGAGTTATGTGAGATAAAAGTATGCTAATATGGTAAATTGACCTTCCAACTCATGTATGAATGTTATGTGTGTGTAAATGTATAATTGCATGATGATGCTTAGCGCATGGGAGGCTGCCACATATCTATTGATATGGAGGGGCTACCATTAATGATAAATGAGTTGTAGGAATAATTTTAATAGTATTGTGATGCTAGTTAAGGATTGTTCTAGATGTTGATAGAATCAAACTTAAAGGTTGAGTTTGTTTGTGATGAACTTGAATAAGATTCAAGTGTCAATTGTGATTGTATGAAGTAGGAGATCTATGGTGTGATTGTATGAAGTAGTAGATCTATGGTGTGAATACATGAAGTAGGAGATCTATGGTGTGAATACATGAAGTAGGAGATCTATGGGGTGAGTACATGAAGTAGGAGATCTATGATATGATTACATGAAGTAGGAGATCTATGATGCGAGTGCATGATGATGTACTCGAGCCGAACTCTAGAAATGAGAAGTTATGTTAGGGTTGGACCCTATGTATGTCGTGACCATTAGTCACGGGGTTTTGGGAAATGTTTTGTAATAAACATGGGCCTTTGAGCCGACTACTTGACCTTATATAAAGTAAGTATGTATTTTGAAAGGGGTAATCTGGGATTACGACCTATACTATATTATCACCCTATTTGAGGGTCTTGTGTGTGAAATACTTGTTGTATATCTATTAGATGCCTGCCACACCAGCACTTTATAGCCCTATAGAGTGCTGACCCCTTCGGGGGCGTCCCACCACCATTTTTCAGGTTGAGGCTAGAGCTTGCTTCCTGTGCTCGTTGCTCGAGAGATCATATAGGAGGGAAGACTTGGTTCGTGCTTCCTCCATTCTGTTTTTAAAGATTAATAAACATGCTCATGAATATTTTACTATAGAGCCTGCGTGCTCATGTTTGCCACGTGTGGCATTTGTTTTCAAACTATGTTTTCCGCTACATATTCGATTGCTTATTATGTTGTTTATGGATGGCTTACGTGTGAATGGTATTCGTGACGCCTTGTATAATATGAATGTGTTGGACTGCGGTTGACTATTCGTATTATACGGCGGGTTGTTGACGTGTCCGGGGAGGTCCGGGGCGTGACAATATTGTCATCATAGCAGCCTCATACCAACCAACAATGCTCAGATCAATATTGTCATCATAACAGCCTCACACAAAATAATGCTCGGACCAATAAGGTCATCATAGCAGCGTCACACAACCCTTACTCAAACCATAAGGTCACACAAACATTAGTAGCAATCAATTTCAGTCATACAAGCATATATAGATACCAAGCATAATCATCACAGCAGCCTCATACCGACCAACAATGCTCAGACCAATAAGGTCATCATAGCAGGCTCATACAAACCAAAAATGCTCAGACCAATAAGGTCATCATAGCAGCCTCACGTAACCCTTACTCAGACCATTTGGTCACACAAACATCAGTAGCAACCAATTTCAGTCATACAAGCATAGATAGATACCAACCATAATCATCATAGCAGCCTCATACCAACCAATAATGCTCAGGCTAATAAGGTCATCATAGCAGCCTCACATAACTCTTACTCAGACCATTTGGTCACACAAACATCAGTAACAATAAATTTCACTCATACAAGCGTAGATAGATACCAACCATAAATGCTCATACCATATATGCATCATAACAAGGACATTTTAGTAGATAAGAACACCCTAAAATCATCATTGTTGCCCCAGAATCAAACACATCTACACACACAACGTACATGTAACACAAGTCTGACAACCATTTCCACAACAATACCAACATACCGAGAAGCAATGGAAATGAGTGAAAGATTGGAAAACAAATAAAGAAACAAACTCCCCTGTTAGGTGTCAACGTTCCACATCCTTGATTCCCAGCCGGGTAGGATCAGTTTTAAGAAGTCCTCTAGACCAGGATTACGAATGTACCACATGCACCTCCTTCCGTATATTTGCAGCATTACGGTCTGGGAGGGCCTCCTTGTCCGCCATCTCCTGCTGCTCTTCACTGTCCGGAACCACAAGCTCCACCGCACCTCCACCAACCTCCTCCTCCCACTCCTCTTCACTATCTGAAACCATAAGCTCCATCATAACTTCACCAT